CCCGCCAAGCCCGCACGTCGGGCACCGTAAGAACCTACCCCAAAAGTGAGGGTAGCTGAATGAAACGCTCAACTAGAGTTGCTCTTCGCGATCCCCGTGGGGTGAGCACAATCCCCCTCACAAATCCTCCTCCGGAGCACCGCACAATCTTCTTGTGTGCTTCAACGGAGTCACAAGCCACCAAGCCATCTAGGAGGTGGCAACCTCTAGGAGTAACAAGCACCACAGGCTTATAACTCGAACATCTAGTGCCACTCGATGCAACCTCATGATGCAATCGCACTAGAATCGCTCACTCACTCAATCGGATGAACACTATCAAGCAAGAGTGAGTAGGAGAGCTCCCAAGCCACGAAGGCTCTAGTGTGCTCAGCAACCGGCCAAGGCCAGCCAACACTTCTATTTATAGCCCCATGAGCCAAACTAGCCGTTACCCCTTCACTAGGCGTTTTTCCAGCTTACCGGACATGCCGGTCGTAATGACCGGCCCAGCATTCGGTCATGCTACACCGTCCACGTGTCACTCTGCGTTCAACCGGAGCCGCCCGATCTCAATGGTAACTTCACGTGCCAATGGTCACAAGACGACCGGACGCACCCTAGCACGACCTGACGCTCGAGCCCCAGAGTCTGGTCATCCGGTCACGAATAGAGAGCTCCCAGAGCCTCGATTCCATGACCTAACGCATCATATGAACCGCGATCGAATGCATAGCGGTGTTTGATCCTCACTGCGCGCCAAGATCACCTCCAGCGCCTCACCACGTCACCATACGTCATGGTCGACCGGACTCAGCCCCTGCACGTCCGTTCATGCCAACACGCCGCCCTTCAAAAGGTGACCGAATGCGCCGGTGAAGCCAAGGCCAGCATCCGGTCCCAACTCCTTGCCTTCGGCCAGCCAGCACACCGTGGCTAAAATTGACCGGACACGCAGGTCCTCTCGAGGCCTACGTCCGGACCACTTCTCACCTCCAATGACCACTTCTCACCTCAGTTTCTTCACCGAGTTGATCCGCTTCAACTCCAACTTCTACTCCTTTGCAAATGTGCCAACACCACCAAGTGTACACCACCATGTATATGTGTGTTTGTATTTTCACAATCAATTTCCAAAGGATTAGCCACTTAACTTGCCACGCCACTCGATCCTAGCAACGATGCAAAGTTACATCACTCGAGTGGCACTAGATGATCGATATGCAAACACGTTTGCCCCTCTTGATAGTACGGTTATCTATTCTAAACCCGGTCATCAACTTCTCTACACACCTATGACTGGTGAAATGAAATGCCCTAGGTTATACCTTTGTCTTGCGCATTTCATTCCATCTCCTCCAATGTCGATGCAACACATGCACCAACATGATCAACAATGATATGATCCACTACATATCATCACATGACCATATTGGTTCATCGATCTTGACTTCACTTACTCTTCACCGTTGCTTCTGTCCATCGGCGCCAAGTCATCACTCAACTTGCCCTTCACACTTGCAACCGGTCCATCGAGCCAAGTCATGTCTTGATCTTCTCCACCTTGATCACATGACTTAATGTCATGTCTCATGTGCAATGAGCTCCTTCATCATCACATGTATAAGCTTTGCAACAACTCCGAGCCATCTTCACCGTCATGGCATATGTTGCTCACACACATATACTTGTGGACTAATCACTTGTGTATCTCACTCAGATACATATTAGTCCACCTAAGGTTGTCACTCAATTATCAAAACTAAACAAGGACCTTTCAACCTTACAACTCTGTTAGAGTCGTAACCCCTATTGCTACTTAGTTGACCAAAGTTGAGTACCTATCTGGCTTCCTTTGACTTATCCTTGATAGAGGCCTTGATTCTCGGAGAACCATAATTTAGGCCAGTCATAAAACTACTTTAGACCCATACACTATTGACAGTCCTTATTCACTATTAGTGCGCCAAAATAATATAAAATGATAACTTACATAAGCAACACCATAACCATAGAACTTAATTTAATCAATTTCTCATGGTTTGGTGTTTATTTGAAAGCGGGCAAGACATTACCGAAAGATGAGTCAAATTGGCCCAATGGGGGGTTGACCGACCTACCCATTGACCCAAACATGTTCCACTTTGATCACACTCAAAGAAACATAAGGTGAGTGCTCTAAATCATCGGACTTATGTTGGTTTGATCCAAGAGCTAGGGTGAGCCTCACATGGCTTTAAGAGCACACCAAATTGAAGTTAACGAGCACACAATGGCCCAACGGACCGACAAGAGTGCATCCAAGGCATTTATCTTGAATTTGAATGACCTAAGTAGGCTACTAATTTGATGGTATCCTAACTACAACATTCAAATTTGAATGACCACTATGTAGCCTACCCAATTAAGATAAAGTTGGTAGACTACTATTTAGGTAATTCAATACAATCGAGAATGACACATTCTTTTATCTTACAAACCGAGAAATCGATGCCTGATCTAGCTTCCAATTGACTTTTGGAAGTGGCAACAAATTGGGATTTTATAATTTATATGTGGTTATACTTCAATAGAGTTTGCACACACCTTATTGAACTCATACTTTTGAGTAATACTTCTACCTAAGTGGCTTATAAAAAGTCCGAACACTGTGACTAAAGTGACCTTGGCAAAATTTGGGGATTTTATAATTTTGGTATGGTATATGTCATAGCAAATGAAATGTACATGAAGACACACCTATAGCTCTTCTTTACCTCTAGTTCTTCGTATCTATCAAGTTGTTTTTTTATCAAAGTTGAGTAATTTTTCTACTTTATAAAGTGGCTTATAAAAGTCCGAACACTTAGTGACTAAAGTGACCTCATGGTAGCAATAACACATGCCTTACTTTGAAATTTATTTGAAAATATATAGGACTTGGCATTGTGCATAATGCTAAAATGAAATGTTTAAACTATAGAATACTCTAAACTATATAACATAGACGTCAAATTTCATCGAATGTTGAGTTCAAATACTAATTTATTTAAGCGGGACAAAATGCATATGGGAAGTGCTTCCTGCCACACCAAAGAGGATGTTACGATCAGACATTTTTTTTGTTTAATTCAAAATTAAACAACTTTAATTCTACAATACTTTTAGTTAAAATGGAACATCTGGTTTATATACATTCCAACCTTTGTATAAACCATCTCTACAAAGGAGCTTTGCTACGAAAAAATAGCAACTATAATTGGGTACATGTCGACACACCAGTGACGTTCATCACTAGCTTAACTCGCTGTTTCGGTACATAAGGCACTCATAATTTCCTACGGAGAAGAGAAGACAACGACATGGATTTAAAAAATTTACAGGGCAGAAACACGAGGGAATTTGAGGTCAGCCTGATTGGCAGAAGCACCGTCTGAGCCCGTGGAAATGCGTGTCGTGCCGTGGCTGAGACACTTCTTCTCTGCTATAGAAAAGGATTTTGATGTGATACCACCAAACGACTATGAGCTGTTTATTTATTTTAATCGAACGGTCACGCTCAACGGAGACACCAGTGGCCTGGAAACGTTTTGACGACACCAGGAGGGTGCCTGTGTGTGTAATACACGCGTGGGGACGCGACGAGCTGGGGTCCGCGGCCAGCGGCGTATCCGCGTCGGATCTAAGCAGGGTGCCGTCCGCTTACGCGAGCTCTTCGTTAGCTTGATGGCCCATCATCAGATAAGAATGCGGTATGTCCTACTCCAGTACTTGTTAGCTTGATTTATTAATATATATTTATTTAAATTTTTACTTTGGAAAGTATGATAAATCAGAAAAAGTTTTAGATATAAAGATCTTTTTAGATCTAATTGATGCATACGTGATCCATTGGATGTGGTAAAATTTTTATTTTTTTCAAGTTTAGATATAGCATAATTTAATTAACATAAACTACCTATTTTTTATTCAAGTAACTCGTACCACACGTATGTGCTCAAACAAACGTGAAATGATGTGTGTATGTGCCCAACGTGCACGAAAATTTACGTGCATACATGAAACTTTACATGGCCATTTTATATGCTCAATATACGTGATAGCTAAGGCCCGCTGAACTATGAAATATAGTTGTATTCGAGTTAGTATAATATACACACTTGATTTGTAACGTGTCAACATATAACATGTTTTAGATCTCTAAAGTTCATGTCTTAATTAATGTGTTAACCATTGATATTTTTTATATATGTAACGTAACTTTTAATAACTGAATAAACCGTGATAGCTGTTGTACACATGGATATTTTTTATATGTAACATACTGAAAGGAAGGCCGCGCAATCTACAAGGAAGGGTAGCGCGTCCGGCCGCCGCTTCTGTCTCCCGTGCATGAGGAGATTTGAAGATATTTTCTTTTTATTTTTTCTTTTCTTAGGTTAATTAATTAATTTAAAAATCTAAAAATCATCGTTGCGTAAATTTCTTGCCAACCCGTGCGCACGCAACGCCCCTGCTTCGCCTCGTCGTCGCTGAGCGAGAGACGAGAGCCGCAGGCAGCCCGCAGAGCAGCGGCGGCAGCGGGAAAAGCTGCATGTCTGAGTCAGAGAGGCCAAGCCAAGATGGCCCCGTGACGAGACAAATTAAATTCGCACCCACCGCCACCTGACCTCCCTCCCTCGGCTGGCTGCACTTTTCCCTCCTCACCTCCACCACCTCCAGGCAGGCAGGCACCAGCCCGCGCTGCTCTCTCTCTCCTCTCCTCCCCTGCTTCAGCGGTTCAGCTCCTTCACCTACACACCTCCTCGCTGCGGTTGCTCCGTCCGGTGGCCAGGCCGCGGTTCTTGGCGCTCTTGGTTGGTCGGATCCTTGGCTAACGGGCCGGCTGGTGTTCCTGCTTCGACCTTGAGCTTCTTGGGGGTTCTTGAGCGTCACCTGCCTGTTTGTTTCTTGGGTTGATGCGGCCGCGGCGGTGGCGGCGGTTCTTATGACTGGAGGGGCCACGGAGGTGGAACTTTTCCGGTGAGGGGAGAACCGACGGAATGGAAAGCGAGGCGGCGGCGGCGGCCGAGGCGGTGGCGCGGATACGGCTGGTGCGGTGCCCCAAGTGCGACAAGTTCTTGCCGGAGCTGCCCGCCTACTCCGTCTACGTCTGCGGCGGATGCGGCGCCACTCTCCAAGGTGCGGTTGTACTCTTTCCCGCAAGCTGGCACAATATTTGGTTTAAACCCCTATATCTCCATTGCCATCCCAGATGGATTCATCTTTGAGTGACTGACGGCTGCAAGGGAGAGATTTAATTTTTCAAACCTATGCTGTTGCTTTGCTGCAAAATTGGGGACGCATTGCTAGTTTGACTTCAGACCTCGGTTTTCATCTTTCTTCCCCTGTTTGTAATTAAAACAAAATCGTTTCGGGCCTATTTCATTCTCATTTCGTAATGCGTTGTAATGTTTATTCCATTTTTAAACACAATGTAAAACTTCTGAAATTTGAAAAAAAAAATGCTTACTCTTTTCTGTTAACACTTGGAAATTTACATTTCTTAGGAGCAAATGTAAAAATTTCGGGTTTTATGATAAATGCTTACTCTGGTTTTTAGAACAAATGTAAACTTCTCTTTTTTGTGGAAAAATTTACTTCACTTCTTATGAGCCAATGTAATCTCCTGGACCTTTCAGGAAATGTTTACTAGTCCACTTCAGGAGCACAGCCAAACCTTTATTTTTCCAAGAAATTCTTACTCCATTTTTGTAGGATTAAGTTTGAACTTCTGTTTCTTTGGGAAATGTTTGCTCCATTTTTAGAAGCAAATTAAACTTTTCATTTGCTTCTAGGTTAACTTAGGAACAAATTGAAATTCTTAATATGTTTCCAAATTATGTTCTAAAATTTTTTAGCGTCCTTTAAAGAGCATATTATCATCTTTTGGATTTGAAGTGGAAGAACCATGTCTCTAATTCTCGCACACAAAAAAAGTAAAGCTGAAAATCTAGCCTGTGCCTTGGTGATAGGGACATGGCTGTGTCCTATTTGGTCATTAGTAGCTGTTGTTACTTCTTAAATTTATTGCATTGGGATTAAAAAAAAGTCAGTTGAATTTGACCTATATATATTGTAAATTACAGTAGTTGATTCAGTTATTTGCATACCCAATATACCCTGCCATCAGCGATTAATTTAGGATTCTAGCTGCATTCTAGTGATTTAGTCCCCAGTTGTACTTTTCAATGTTGCTTTTGAGGTCAATGGGAGCCAGAGTAGTGCCTTTGGCGCCAGTCTTGCAGAACTAGTCTTCTTTGGCTCATCGTTTTGAGCTCTTTGTTTAATATCACAATATGACTTGGTAGTCATTAGCCTTCTTTTTAATGGCTAATTAAGCTTTCATAAAGTGGGACAATAACATCTTCCTGTGATGAAAATTTTACAGCAAAGAAGAAGAATTCAGCCCAATCTTCACATGATGCTGACGATGGAAATGTGAAATACCTTGAAGTACTGGAGCGTGTTCCAGAGGCATCTGCAAGAAAACATGGAGCTAGTACTACTGATAGGTCAGAAACCAGTAAAATGGCAGATGTACATAGCAAATCAGTTTATGGCCATCACGATAGCATTCAGACAGGGCCAAGTCCCTCAAATCTGAACACTTCTATTAGAGATGATGGCAAGGAGGCAAAGTACCGACACATTCGTTATTGGGAGAATGGTGAAATGGGGCAATCATTGAGACTAAGAGACATGTCCCCAAAGTTTCCAGCCAATGCTTATCGGGGTGAGTGCCATTCGAAGCAGAGATACAATTATTCTACTAAGGAATGCCCAGGTGAAAGAAACTTGGATGGTCCAAGCAGAGTCAGGGGGCTTGAGAAAGACCGGGCTGAGATCTTAAGGAGGCTTGATGAGTTGAGAGACCAGGTACAGCAATCTTGCGATGCAACTAATGGGCCAAGTGGAAGTGCCCCAACTACTACAGCAGCAGATTCCCACATTTCATATGGTACTTCTGACTGGTTGAGTCAATTGAGGCATGTTGCACCACAATTTCATCAGAATGGTTCACACCCCACCCCACCCTTGAATGTACGAAGTCCTAGCGTTCCTCGCGTTTATGCTCGGCTGCCTGCACAACAAGATTGTGTCGGATATGCAGAGCCCATTTCACACGCTAGAGGCTCTAGCTATCCTGCCAGCCTCTATCCATGGAGAAATTTTGATAATTATTTCTTTGGACAGCATGATCCTGATTCTCTTCTCTCTTGCCGCCATGATGGCTTCTATCACCAAGCTGCCTGTTCTTGCTTGCATTGTTGCCACCAAGAATTCTTGCCTATACAGGGAAATCACATGGGCTTCAATGATCAAAGGGCACCATATCTTCTGAACAGTTATGGGGCTTATCCTGTGAACAGTCCCTTACCTGGTCAGCAAAGATACAGTAGAAGAGGCATCAATACTACCTTGCAGCAGAATCACATGAGGGTCAACGTTAGCAAGAAGCCTGCACAGACTTGTGAGCCGGTCGCAGGTGGTGCCCCTTTCACCATATGCTGCAATTGCTACGAAGTTCTGCAGATACCAAGGAAACAGTCCCTGTCAGGAAACGAGTACAAATTGCGTTGTGGATCATGCTCACATGCAATTCTAGTCAAGCTTGATGGAAACGGGCTCAGTGTATCAGAAATTGCACTAAGTACACCTTTATCTGACAGACAGGAAAATGACATGGGAACCGATGGGCAAACTCCAGACAATAGGTCCATTCCAGCTTATCGTTTTTCTGTTGGAAGTCCTGCATCTCAAGAAAAAGATCTGCATTCAAATTTGAGTGAGTCAGAGAACAACCATACCCCTCTAGCAACTGACTCAGAGGGCACCTACCATTCCAGGGATCTTCCTCCTGAAGACAGTGCAGTTTCCCATGTACCAAACTTACCACATCGCAGTCATTCTGGATCATCTCCATCAGAACATTCTGGGGTGGGAAGTAGAAGTACGCATTCTGAACCTGAAAAAGTTATACTATTAACTGAAAGTTCCAAGCAGAACTCAGTTAAAGGTATATGTGTATCAAACAAGATGCAATCTCCAAACAATGAGTTTGATGTTCCTGAATACACAGATGATACATTAAATGCGCAGCAAGATACTGAGCACCCTAGAGCAACAAAGTCCAGCGATTCTTTTCTCACTAATCTGATAAAAAGGAGCTTCAAAATTAATAATGGAATGCGCAACGGAAGAGCAAGGGTTTATGTAAATGGCTTTCCTATCTCTGATAGTGCGGTCAGGAAGGCTGAGAAGCTAGCTGGATCAATCTGCCCTGGAAACTATTGGTAATTCTTTGAGTTATAACTTTTACATTTAACATGTTATTTGCTAACTGAAAAAGGGTAGTTCTGACACAAATGTTATCTTTATTTTATTTAACATAGGTATGACTACCATGCTGGCTTCTGGGGTGTTATGGGACGTCCCTGCCTTGGCATGATACCAGTAAGAGCTTCTGGCATGTATTTTTTTCATCGCTTTAACCTGTACTGTGATGATCAAAGCTCAAACTGGATATGTTGCTTGCAGCCTTATATTCCAGAGTTTAATTTTCCCATGCCTAAGAACTGTGCTGGCGGAAACACAGGCGTATTTGTTAATGGAAGAGAACTTCACCAGAAGGATTTGGATTTACTTGTCACTAGAGGACTCTCTGATTCCCCTGGTAGATCTTATGTAGTTGAAAATTCTGGAAAGGTTTCAGATGAAGTATCTGGTGAAGAGCTTTATGGCCTTGGAAAGCTTGCACCAACGTAAGTATCTTTTTCTATTAAATTCTGTGAATAAATCACTCCATTTTGTTACACATCGAAGCAAAATGTGATCAATGTTGTATTGCTGCAATAGTAAAATTTTGCCGTAGTACCTCTTATCGTTGAGCAGTGATATAGCTTTAATCTTTTTTTTTTCTTTTTTTCTCGAACGCGCAGGAGAACTGCGCATCAATATATTAAGAAGAAAAAGGAGGGGGAAAAGAGCCCCAAAACAAACTGTTACAAAAACACAGAAACAAAAAACTGTTACAGAGAAAAGGGTCTGCAACCCACCCTAAGAACCCAAACTACGTTATGTCTCTAGAGAACTATAAGGCAGGACCAAAAAACCACCGGACCCAAAGAGCTAGGAGGTAGGAGCCAGGGCAAGGAGATAAGAAACTCCTCGAGCCCCTGCTGCTGCCCACTGCTGAGCTTCTTCCTTAAAAGCTGAGAGGACCCTAGCTAGGCTAGGAGTTCCACCATCAAAAACACAATGGTTTCGATGCTTCCAAATTAACCAAGCTCCCAAAATAATAATGGAATTGAACCCCTTCTTCACTTGACCAGAAAGCCTGCTGCAAGCACCCTCCCACCAGTCCACAAAAATCAAATCAACCATTTGTGGAGCCACATCTTGCAGTCCAAAAGAATATAGCTTTAATCTAGGATCATATTTCTTTAACAATCTATGGTCAGATGAATTTTCTTAAGGAATATTGTTCTATTGTTTAAGTAATCAAAACTTTCTCGTGAATATTCTAACATATTGTGCTTTCTGTGAATTTATTTCTAATATATAAGTCTCTGTTGTTGTATAAATTAATGTGCATCTTCCCTGTTAAATGTCAATTAAAGACCTGAGAAAAATTAACAGTCTGGTACATGATCAGACTGTTAGACAGGCAGATGGGATTATTGTTGTTCAGCCCTTTGGCCGACGTGCTACGCCACCAGCCCTGAACCGACGCATGCACTTGTACAGTTGATCTATGATTTGTGTTAGGCAAGGAACTCCATCGTTCGTTATTTCTTCTATATGAACCAAACCCTAGGACATTGTTGTGGCTACATAGGCATGTCCCTTGCATCCTCATAATCAGTATATCTTCTTCCGTGGGATATTACACTTACATGGTAACAGGCTGGTCGATCCTCGACCACATGCTTCGGTCCGGACCCTAGGTGCCGCTTGCCATTGTCCTATAATGCCTAAAAAGTATTCAAGAATCAACTTATAGGCAGTACTGTCAATCTGTAAAGTGTCAAATGACTAAATATTGCACAGTTAGTAGAGCATGGTTATCTGGTAAAAAAATTGGAGCAGATTTTTACAACTGGAAATCTTGTTAAGATTTCTCATAAAAATTAAGAGCTCTATTAATCGGTGATACATGAGTATGGTTTTGTCAATATGGTTTGGTATCATTGGTTGCTTTTAGCTATCCAAAATGTTGGTATGACTGTTTGCTTGTCTATTTATTAGACTAATTTGTCTATGCTGTTGCAAGAACTTTGGTATGTGCGTGATGACATACATGATTTTCATTTTCAGAACAGTCAACTCTGTCTTGAATTGTTGTGTTGGTTTCTCTTCCATGGACCACAGCTACAATTTTTTCCCATAAAGGCCCTGTTAACTGAAGTGTATATGCTTGTTCTTTTAATGTGCAGAGTTGAGAAAATGGGGCGTGGATTTGGCATGCGCGTCCCAAGATTCATCCATTGACAGGTCAACTTGGCACAACTAAACTTCTGAACCTCGAAGGCACAGACATGGAGATAATTCAGATCTACTGTAGGTCACTTCAATTGTGAAGCTAGTTTCATGTATCTTTCTTTTTCCTGATTATATTCCGATTAACATGAGGCCTAGTTCAGTCAAATTGAGGTTTTGTTGTAATTTTCTGTTGCATTTGTTTTTACTGAAAATTTTCCATGTTATGCAAGAACAATTTGAAGCATTTACCTAATTGAATCGTATGAATTGTATCAAATTAGCTAAAAGGGAAGTAATAACTAAGTTATCTTATGTTGAATTAGTTAGGTCATGATCATTCTTTACAAGAATTATATCCTTGATACCTGTAGAAATAAAGAACTGGTCAAGGATTCTGAATAGCTATTGCCAATAAAATTCAGGGATGGCCCTAGAAACAATAGCAAAAGCTTCTATGTATTTTCATATTACTATTCTCCATTTCCCACACAAGTAGCCAACATAAACGTAAGGATTAAGAGGTGTTTCAACTTCCCAATCCTCGACTAAACATCAACACGACAGACGATAAAAGGCAGGCAAAATTCAACTACCAGTCAGCCTCCTCTCAAGTCTAGTCGTCTCAACCCATGACTGGTGAGGAAACTTGGGTGCCACTAAAATCTAAACAGTGCAACCAGATTCACAACTCTATTACAGTTACTCCTTGAGCCAGCTCTCCAGCCCGCGACCCGGGGTTCGATCTCTGGCATTGGCACCGGGAGGCCCCTCGTTGGCCTTCCTTCTGAAAAAAAAAAAAAAAAACAGTTGAAAAGGAAACCGACCCAAGAGAGGAAGGGGGTGAATTGTCTTTCTTAAAAACTACTCCCTTCATTTCAAACTATATATCTAGATATGTATTAAAAATATATATATATGTAGAAAAAATAAAACATTTTATAATTTGGAATGGTGTAACATATAAGGTTCTCTTACTGGAAAATTCATAAACTAACTAGCATGACATGTACTTATAGTTTTCTAGTGTGCTCTAACCTATCCAACCCATGAAACTGTTGCAACCTAAAGTCCATTCTACCAACTAGCCTATGCTATCAGGAAAGGTAAAGGTCAAACAAATCAAGCACGATGCAAAAGATTAAATGAGGTAGGTAAAGAGCAAGTTAAGAGACACTGACTATGGGAGACAAGGATGTATCATGTGGTATTGGTTGCCACAACATAACTCCTAGTTCATGTTGGAGTTTGATAAAGGATATGCTTCGGTCACTAAGCCCTTCCACAGTGATAGTGTTGAGCTCGGCACCAAGGCTTGCATAACCAAGGTGAGTGTCGCAAGCCACTGCACACTCACCACCACAACCTGACTCTATTGGTCACCATAGCTTGGAGCACCAGGAGCCGCATCGTCCTTAGTCTAGCGAGGAACATCCAGAGGGAATGATGAGTTTCCTCCTCTTGAGTCGGCAGAGGTGCAGATCTCCGAGCTGGTCGGCAAAGTCCAATATACTAAAAGCAATCTTGTTGCCTGAAACGAAGGTGACGACATCGTGGTTTATGAAGCACATCTGATCCGTATAGATGAATCTACGCATGAAGCCCCCTGCCTGGCATGCCAATTGTTGATGGATTTTGCATCCGACTAGTGATCAGTGTATCAAGCGTAGCAAATAGTCCCTTCCTGGCGTGGCAACTATCGATGGATTTTGGGTCTGACTAGTGATCAGCATATTAGGAGTAGCGAATAAGAGGGGTGGGATATACGAGATAAGAATTTATACTAGTTCAAGTACATAGTACCCTATGGCCAATGGAGATTAGCTTCCTTATGCGTCATGCGCTCAGAGTGGGGGGTGCTGGTTGTTCATGGATGAATGGCTAAGAACCGGATTGCCGATCAGGGGGAACCTACGTCTCCTTATATAGATCGGAGGTAGGGTTTACAATGGAAAGACTTGACTGGATCGTCTTGTTTAATTTCCTAGTTTTTTACAAGGAAGATTGGACGGATCTCATCAGATCTTTACAGATTGATATGACTTCTACGTACACCACAGACCATGGCTTGTCCACTAAGTAGCTTGGGTACCCCCTTTCGGTTGGGCCTCCTAAATAGTCGGCTCAGCCCACCCTACCTTGGTTGTGCGATTTTTCTTAAGGTGAGGATACTCATGACCCATATAGTTGACATGTCTTTTTAAGAGGCTCACCTCTCGGAAAAAAGCCTTTGCCTCGTTGTGGCCCATGTATCATGTGGAATACATATTTGTTGTCCTAGGGTTTTAATCGGTGCCCTCTCTCCCCGTGTCATTTCTCAGCTGACGGTGCCTCCTTATCCATCTTCTCTCTCGCACGCTCCTCCACCCCATCAACCTAGGCCCCTTCCGATGTCGCACGGGCTCCTAGTGGCAGTGTATATGACCCTCGCGCCCTTACTGGCAGTGGCTTGTGGTCCGGCACCCTCTCCCGGAATAGTGGCACATCTCGGTGGACCACGCACTTGTGTCGGTGGCGACTTCTGCTGCAACCTTGAGCCTCCTTCAGCTCTCCACCCGTGTTGAGGTTAGTTCAGATCAGATCTTGTGTTCGTGTGTGTGCGCAAATCTCATGTCCGTGTGTGGAGATCTATCGTCTCAATCGAGGAGGGCACAGGGACAAGCAAGGTGCAGGAGATCTTTGCCCTATTTCTGCATGGCGTCGAGGACAGCTGTGGTGGCTCCTTTTTTTTTTTTTAGTTAATTTTTAGAGGCGAACGTTACAAGACACGGTCTTCGGAATTTTATTTCTACATGCATAAAACAATACCGCATATAGAATATTTAATTAACGGAGACCACCTTCTAAAATCAAGTACTGCCGTCTCTGTCAATATTGTACAACCGTATGTGTAAATTACCTTTTTAGTAGTGGAAATTGAAGTTGTAGCAAAGAGGAATATATAATGTTGAACTAATATATCCTCATTCCACCCGTGCACATGAATGCTAGCCAAGAGCGCATCCTACTTGTACACCAATCACCATATATACTCGATAATCGATAAACACAGAACGAGACGGCTCGGCTCTGGTTAGCATGCCTCGCTCTCCATGGTAGTCTTTGTATATCAAAGCCGACACATACCTCTCCTCTTACAACAGCAGCCTGGAAAACAGGATTATAACCACAGCACGGACGATTCGTTGCCTTATGTTGACCATGTGCAAGTGTTACGATTTTTTTTAATAAACCACAGTTATTTATTATTAGTGTTGCATCTCTTAATTAATTTTCTGATCAAGAGTGTTTAAACTTCATTGTTGGAGATTCATGTATGTAACGTAAGCGTTGACCCCCACCTGCTGATTTTTAAAACCTCCCAATATATGTCTAATTTTTTGACTGATAACTGACTTTAGGACTTATTACTAATTATTTTATTATACGAGCGAAATTCCTCTCCACGAGAAGATGCCATTTGCTAAAATCATCTCCAAGATCAAACCCAGCCCCGGCCCCTAAAAAACACCAAAATCCAAACTTTTATATATAGAAAAAATGAAGGTTCAAGGAGAAAAAACATCCTCTACCAATCTCTTAATTCAATTTCTATATTTAGTTAGTGGTATCTAATAAATCACCTGTCATCCTCCTCTCAATCAAATTTGGAATATTATTTGTGTTTTAGTGTGATTTTTATCTACGAGTGAATCCTTTCCCACCAAATCACAGAGTCGATCTTTCGCTACACAACGTTTATCTGTCACATGCTTCTTTTTTTTCACGGTTTACTACTTCCCTACGTCTAGATAATCACAACGAGAGAAAGGACGGATAGTTGTTATTGTGTAGGTTGGCTCATGCACCATCGTCGTGTCATTTACTACTAGATACTCCCTCCGTTTCAAATTTACAATCGTTTTTGTATTCAAATTAAGTCTCATAGAGAGTGCCGTTGAGGCTAGCTATCGGGTCCTATGCCTATAAAAATCAACTGCACCTTTCCTCCCTACGAAGCCTACGTAGCTTTATTGATTCGTAAGCCGCGGCGGTAACCTCTGTGCGTCCAATAACCATGATGGACATAAGGGTATGCATGTCATTTGCCTCCTTTCTTGGTACTCTCCCTGGATGTTGGAACTACATTTTTAATACGACGAAGAGAGTATATGCCAATCTTGTCGTGACCCTACCGGTGTGCATGTGTATTATCGTATATGTCGGTTAGTTTAATTCTTGTCACAACATCAACCAAATTTATTGTAGTTTGCACATACACTTTCGTTATCTTACACAACTAGTACAATATTATGCTGATATTTTTTCCCTTCCAGCTTGCTCTCATACATGTAAAACCAAATGCTAGTCAGATAGAACAAAATCAACAGCCTATTAAAACCATAAATGATCGCGGATTATTTATTACTGGCTGATTTAGTATGAGAGAAAAATACTATTCTAACTTATAATCCACGATCGTATACGAGCGAGCGAACAGTCTTACGCTTTCACAACAAGCACGCGTGCGTGACGCGTCCGGTGAAAGCTCCAGGCGCCCAGTGCAAAAGCAGGTGCTCCTTCGCCCGGTTCGCTGGGCTTACGAGCCATACAAATAATAATTTTTTATCTCACAATAAATCATTTTCAACCATGACTTTTCGTCAAAAACAAACAGTAACCAGTTTCTATGTCACCGCGCTTCCGTTCGCCTAGACTGTAGCTGTCACAGACCAGGCAGGAGCAGGACCCCACATAACTCTCCAAACCTGCCAACCAGTTCCACCGTCACCGCCGAGCGCGGAGGCACCGACACGACAATCGCAGCTGCAGACCTGCAGTGCCAGTCCGGCTTCAGACCTGCAGTGCCAGTCCTTGGTGGGCACTGTTGCCCGCCTCCGAGAGACCGCGAGATCATTTGGGGCGGGGCGTGTCGAGAGGGATGGGGATGGAGTGGCCGCCGACGCCTGCGCAGCAGAGGAAGGCGGTGGTGGGCGCCGGGTCGGCGCTGAAGCTGGTGCTGTTCGTGATCCTCGCGGGCCTCGCACTGCGGCTGCTGGTCGGCCCGGCGGCCTACCTCCTGCCGCTCACCGCCGCGCAGAGGGGGCCGCCCGTCTTTTCGCGGCGCCGGGGAGGGAAAGAACCGGCGGCGTCGGGATTCCTTCAGTCGGTGAGCGGTTCTTGGAATGTCTTTTTTACGGCACTTTTCCTTTTTTTTTGTCGTTTCTTGAAACAAGAGAAAAGATTTATCCGTGCTTCCTCACGGACACACGCTTTGCCATGGGGTTTGGTTGGGATTTGCAACATGGAAAGATGATCATTTTGTGTTACCAGAATCCGGAGTATTGATGATTGTAGCCGGAGAAGAGCAGCAGCAAATATCTCAAATGCGGAAACTACGATGGAATGGAAATGCTTATACAATGGGTTGTTGGTTAAAACCAAAAAGGATATTAAATATGCATGCTAAATTATTAGAAGATCCGAGGATTCTCAGAATTGCTCCAAAGATCTGCTAGTGCTCCCTATTAATTTAACATGCTCTGCTCACGGAGTATCTTGAATTGTTTAATCCTCAGGGGGGAATGCGAGGATCCCCTGGCTTTACTTGTGTTTAATTTATTATATACTTGTTCTGTTTGACTCTAGATGAATGTTCTTCTACATTCCACTTCCATGTCATTTCTTATTTGCATGTATTTGATCAAGAGATCAGCAGACTGCAGAGGGAGGATGGAGGTGTTCGTTTGATCACTTCCATTAGTTTAGTGATACGGCCATACGGGCAAGCTTTTCTACATCCTGTATGGAAAGGTGGGAGCCTTTTGCTTTGGGATTCCATATGATTAGGCCTTGTTGGCTGCACTCCAATCCACCCCCAATCCACATGGGCCGATTGAGGTGGATTGGAGTCCAGCCAAACAAGCCCTTAAGTGGATCCTCAAATGTGATTAGACTAATGCGCCTTTTCTTGTCTTCGAGTGACGCACCTTTTTATTCTTCTCTTTTTTATTTCCAGTAGATATATTAACAAAATAACTACTCCAGCTTGTTTGGATCTTGTCTTGTTCTAATATATTGCTTGTGCTTAACAGAAACGGATGATGCGGTTTTTACTTTGACCTCTTCAGAACCTCTTACAGATTTAGACAAGGAAGGTTCTCCAAAACCAGAAGGTATGCCCCTGAGATGCTGAGATGCAATCATTGATTAGCCTACGTTTTACTTGAGAAGGATTTTTACTTTGACCTCTTCATAACCTCTAAAAGCTCTAGACAAGAAGGATGGTTCCCCAAAACCAGAAGGTATGCTCCTGAGATGCTGGGATGCAATCATTGATTAGCCTATGTCTTACTTGAGAAGGACTATTTGGCATTTCAGGCAGTAAATCATTGCATTGGGGGAAATCTGTTAAGGTTGGAGAATATTATCATACTTAGTTAAGTGTTAAACACTAAAGGTCTTGCTTGGACCTAAATCCCTAGGATTCAGTTAGAATTTGAATAAAATCCGTAATATTCCTGTGCTCAAATTCCTTGAGCAACCCCTATCATCCAAAGCTTGAACAAAGGTAAAGGTATGGGTTTTTTTCTTCTTGTTCTGAGGACAAACTTCAGAGGGAACCCTAGACTAGATTTGGATAATCTATCCAGTTTCTTGGCTTCGTATGTTATCACCAGCCCATGCTCTCTCCATGCAAAACTACAGTAACTTGTGAAGTATTTTTAATCTTCTTAAGGAACTAAATTGTGTGGTCCAGTTTGATTTTCGTGTGTTTGGCCAAAAAACTTTGTCTTTAGTTCTTTCATCAGTAGTTGGCTACATATTTTCTTTTGTGCATGCAGAAAGTTGTGATCTTTTCCATGGCGAGTGGGTTCCCAATTCATCAGGGCCAGCTTACACTAATGCAAGATGCCGCTTCATTGAGTCTCCTCAGAACTGTATGACAAATGGAAGGCCTGACACAGATTATCTCAATTGGAGATGGAAGCCATATGGTTGTGACGTACCACCATTTGATGGCAAGAAGTTTCTGGATGGGATGAAGGGCAAGCATTGGGCACTTATTGGTGATTCCATCCTTCGCAACCATGTCCAGTCATTGCTTTGCCTTCTTTCTAAGGTATTCCATAATTTTTTACACGTGCTGATATATATGTCTGGTTCATTTTTCTCTGGCAATCTGCAGTGTGCTTTTAATACATCACTTTCTCCAGTGATATATTTTTCTTTCTCTATATATGCATGTACAAAGAATTCCTTATTTTAACTATAAATAGACATGAAGAACAGCCCAGGCTTCCATGATGTTTTTTTATTATTTGGTTTTAGTATAATGCATATAACTAGTGCTAAAAAAGGAAGAAGGTAAAGACACAGCAGCCTAAGGGCAATGCTTTTTTCTGTAAATAAGATGAAAGATAAGTTCTTTCACCTGTGTCACTAGGGAAGATATTGATCTGACATATCACCATACTAAGATCCTTCAAGGTGTTTAATCTCTATCTTTGCATTTCTCACTGCAACTTCAGTGGGAGCCCCGGAAATTGTGCACCTACCACCTTTTGATTAGGCATAACTTGTGTTTACATCTCTAACTTTTCCACTTCAGAGCAGCTCTAGTGTACTCCTCAAATCGAACTGAGGGAAAGCAAAGTTCGATTAAGCGAGCACACTAGGGGCGCCAACTGCTTCCAAAATCAGACTGCAGAATAGTCGAACTATGCGGTGTCCTGGCTATTAAAATAATGCGCGCAACCCACGTTAGGCAGTGCACAGGGTGTGGAGATCCATCATGAGCAGTCTTGTTTTCCTGAAGTGATGATCAGATGTGACACTGGAGCTTGCAAATTTTACTTCACATGATCGAACTGTGTCAGAACTGTGTCGGTTTGGTTCGACGCCACACTACGGATGCCCTCAGAAACATCCTTTGATACCACGAGCAAGTGAGGAACAAGTATTATTGTAGGGAACACACAAGATAGTTGTTGATGAAGATGGCTTGATCAGCTCAGGACATGCTTTTCTCAACACCTGATTGTAAATATATTGTCTAGTTCTTTTTGTAGATAATAGTGCTTGCATGAATTCTTCGTAGTATGATTTTTGAAAAGCAAAAGCTTTGGCAGATATGCATTATCCTATTATTGTTATTATTATTAGTACTGCTAGTACAATTTTTATGCTCTTTCCTGTGGCTGTTGTTGAGTTTCATCTCTAACTTGCATGGGACCAAAATACTTTATTGTCGCTGTTGCAGGTCGAAGATGCTACTGAGGTCTACCATGATGATACATTCAGATCCAGAAGATGGCACTTACCTTCACACAATTTCACGGTCTCCCTTATCTGGGCACCATTCCTGGTCAAAGCTAAAATATTTGAGGACGATGATGGAGTTTCTACTGCTGATCTCCAGCTGCATCTTGACGTTCTCGAGACAAATTGGACTAGTCAATGGGAGAGCTTTGATTACGTAGTGATATCCACAGGTCAATGGTTTTTCAAAACTGCAGTGTACTGGGAGAATGGAGCTGTGATTGGCTGCCACTACTGCCAGAACAAAACCCTCAAAGAGAGGCCTCCAGAGTACTCCTTCCGCAGGGCACTCAAGGTGGCCTTCCAGTTCATCACATCTTCACCTCACAAGCCAGTAGTCTTCTACAGAACGTGGTCTCCTTCGCATTTTGAGAATGGCGAGTGGTTCAGTGGCGGGACTTGCAACAGGACGGCCCCATTCAAGCCAGGGGAGGCTGGTGACAGAGAAATGGACAATAAAATGTGGAGGATTGAGAGAGAAGAGTTTGACAACGCGGTGGCGAACAAGGGGCCTATCGATGGTCACCGTCTGAAGCTGCTTGATACATTTGAGCTCTCTCCTAAGGCCTGATGGGCATTCGGGTCCTTATAGAGCATACCATCCTTATGAGAAGGGCATGACAGCCAAAGTCCAGAATGACTGCCTCCACTGGTGCTTGCCTGGGCCTATTGATACGTGGAACGATGTACTCATGAAGATGCTGGCAAAGGACTGAAACATTATCAGCTTTCTCCCTAGGCATGGCATCTGATTTCAACACCAGTATTGTCTCAAGTCTCATTGTCATACATTTGTAAGTTTCTGGGCAGTAGCATGGCGTCTCCTCTGCTGCAAAAACTTGTGGCTTCGAACACCACTTCGCTGTGGATATGATGGTTGTTCTTGAAGCAATCTACCTAGCAGAGGGATTATTATTTGTTGTTAATGGTGTGCTGTAAAAGAGGTAACTTGTGATAGCACGCCCGAGTGCTCCAGTTACTTCTTAATATCTGTATGTATCAGAGTGGTCTAGGGAGTCTCAAACTTGAGTTGCTTCCAAAAGGCAGTATAATATATAAACAGTGGCGATATATATAGAACGGTGCATCCATAGCTAGTGCAAAATGTACTGCAAATATTTGCAACAAAGCCTAGCAAGTAGCAACGTTTTAAACTCTTCACTCTATTTCTCCAAGAGAAAATGTGTATCTAATGAAATGTTGCTCATCGAGTTCCATATGAGAACCGAATATCTTGCCATGCAACTGATCGCCAATGAATCCAAGAAAAATGGATCCTCTTGAAATAATCTATAGGTGTGACTTGAAATAATCTATAGGTGACTAGTTGTTTGCATTACCCTTAAGTTTATGGACCTTATGCAGCAGCAAGTCAGCAAACACAATCCAAACTAGTATAAGTATACATAATGTCTTGTTTGTTTGTCGTACATAGACAAACTGTGTTTAGTATGATTGTGTTTGGTTATTATTTATATGTACTCATCTCCATGTTCTAGAGATCTCATGTTTTCAGTAGAAGTTAGGGAGATGAGAATATTGTTTTTACGTGCTCTATTACCTTGTTCAAATCTACATTACTTAATACGATTAACTCCTCTGACGTATTAGCTAATGCTGCATTTTACCTGCTTTAAGCACTGTGCAAGTATGCTTAATAGCTTCTTGCCTTCTGTGAGCAACCAAATATAGGCAAACTGCATTGCTTGGATATATAGGATAATGCAGATAACCAAACACAAGTCAATAAACCAATGTACAATGAAATGATAATACATCTCTCTTTTACGTTAAATTCGGCAGCATTTCAATTGTACATTTACAAGACCTTCAAGAGCCTCCCTTGCAACAAGCAAGGGACCCTTATTTTGCAAATATACAACACGGAGAAACATAAAGCAAGTCACCGGTTGCGTCTAAGAGAAAGAAAGCAGGTCACTAAACAAGGGTATGGTTCACAGCTCCATGCCACACAAAGTCTCTGTTTTGTCTTGAGCTGACAGTCCCCGTGTGAACTTCACACGAGCCGTACCTGCAAGGCTGCAACTGCAAGGTACCTTTATCAAAGACTAACTCAGAAAACCAAAAAAGAAGTACAGAAACGGGTAAATTTTGGACACCCACTATAATTTTGGTCTAAATTGTCACAAACTACTTGAGCCCATTTGACAAACCCACACTGTTTGGGTTTGGTTCTCACAAATTTAGACAATAATTTCCATGACAACTTGCATTCCTCACCAGATGGGCCCACGCAACAGATCACTTGAAACACACCCTATTCTATGCATCCATGTCAGGCTATGCCGTTTGCCATGCAAGTTGGCCCTATGCCAAAGAAAACCAAAAAAGAAGTACAGAAACGGGTAAATTTTGGACACCCACCATAATTTTGGTCTAAATTGTCACAAACTACTTCTTGAGCCCATTTGACAAACCCGACACTGTTTGGGTTTTGTTCTCACAAATTTAGACAATAATTTCCATGACAACTTGCATTCCTCACCAGATGGGCCCACGCAACAGATCACTTGAAACACACCCTATTCTATGCATCCATGTCAGGCCATCCATGTCAGGCTATATGCCGTTTGCCATGCAAGTTGGCCCTATGCCAACTATGCTGCATGCAGGGGGAAGGGCACCAGAAATAGAAGAGAAAAAAAGGGTAGTTTTGCGAAAAGAAACCCCAAGTAGTGGTGATTTATGAAATGGGCTTAACTCTTAAGAAGTTGTATCTTTGTGACAATATCGAAATAGTGGTAGGTTTGTGAGATTTACTCAATGAAAAAAAAAATCATTTGAAACTTCAATGTGGCAGCCTGGCAATAACTCATCTAGTTTGTGTTATGTGGTTTGCCATTGTAAATTTCAGAAGATGGTTGTGTTATGTGGATGACCATCACTAACCCTAAACATTGCAAACCCCATAGATGCCAATTCAAGATTCCTTCAAACCTCCACAATTACATGTCTGATGATATTGAAAATGAGTCATGACAAACAGTCAATAAACAGCCTCCTAAGAAAGGGGGAGAGAGAGAGGCCACTCAAGATTATGTAGAGCTTTGCAGCAGCAGCAACAACAACAACAAAGCCTTTCAGTCCCAAACAAGTTGGGGTAGACTAGAGTTGAAACCCAGCAGAAGCAATCAAGATTCAGACACGTGAATAGTTGTTTTCCAAGCACTCATATCTAAGGCTAAGTCTTTGGGTATATTCTATCCTTTCAAGTCTCATTTTATTGTCTCTACCCAAGTCAACTTCGGTCTTCCTCTGCCTCTCTTCACGTTACTATCCTGGCTTAGGATTCCACTACGCACCGGTGCCTCTGGAGGTCTCCGTTGAACATGTCTAAACCATCTCAACTATTGTTGGACAAGCTTTTCTTCAATTGGTGCTACCTCTAATCTATCACGTATATCATCGTTCCGAACTCGATCCCTTCTTGTATGACCGCAAATCCAACGCAACATACGCATTTCCGCGACACTTATTTGTTGAACGTCGTCTTTTCGTAGGACAATATTCTGCATCATACAACATAGCAGGTCTAATCGCCGTCCTATAAAACTTGACTTTTAACTTCTGTGGTACCCTTTTGTCATATAGGACACCAGATGCTTGGCGCCACTTCATCCACCCTGCTTTGATTCTATGGCTAACATCTTCATCAATATCCCCGTCTCTCTGTAGCATTGATCCTAAATATCGAAAGGTATCCTTCCTAGGCACTACTTGACCTTCCAAACTAATATCTTCCTCCTCCCGAGCAGTAGTGCCAAAGTCACATCTCATATACTCAATTTTAGTTCTATTGAGTCTAAAACCTTTGGACTCCAAAGTCTCCCGCCATAACCCCAGTTTCTGATTCACTTCTGTCCGACTTTCATCAACTAGCACTACATCGTTCGTGAAAAGCATACATCAAGGGATGTCCCCTTGTATGTCCATTGTGACCTCATTCATCACTAAGGCAAACAGATAAGGGCTCAAAGCTGACCCTTGATGTAGTCCCATCCTAATCGAGAAGTCATCCGTGTCTCCATCACTTGTTCGAACACTAATCACAACATTGTTGTACATGTCCTTAATGAGCCCGACGTACTTCGTTGGGACTTTATGTTTGTCCAAAGACCTACACATAACATTTCTTGGTATTTTATTATAATCCTTCTCCAAGTCAATAAAAACCATGTGTAGGTCCTTCTTCTCCATATACCGTTTTATAACTTGTTTTATTAAGAAAATGACATTCATGGTTGACCTTTCGGGCATGAAACCAAATTGGTTCACATAGAGACCCGCGCTATTCCTCTCAAGCGATGCTCGATAACTCTCTCTCTTCCATAGCTTCATAGTATGGCTCATCAACTTAATTCCCCGGTAATTAGTACAACTTTTAATATCCCCTTTATTCTTGTAGATCGGTACCAATATACTTCTCTTCCACTCGTCAGGCATCTTGTTCAATCAAAAAATATGGTTAAACAGCTTGGTTAGCTATACTATAGCTATGTCCCCAAGGCATCTCCACACCTCGATTGGGATATCATATGGCCCCATCGCTTTATCTCCTTTCATCCTTTTCAACGCCTCTCTGACCTCAGATTCTTGAATCCTCCGCACAAAGCGCCTATTGGTGCATCAAAAGAGTCATTCAACTGAAAGGTTATGTCCGTATTCTCACCATTGAACAATTTGTCAAAATACTCTTGCCATCGATGTCGGATCTCATCCTCTTTCACCAAGAGATGCTCCATTTCATCCTTAATGCACTTAACTTGGTTGAAGTTCCTTATCTTTCTCTCACGAACCTTAGCCATCCTATAAATGTCCTTCTCTCCTTTCTCCGTGCTCAAATGTTGGTAAAGATCCTCTTACGCTCTACCCTTTGCCACACTTAGCTCGTTTTGCAGTCTTTGCCACCTTGTACTTCTCAATGTTGTCTACACTCTTGTCATGGTACAAGCATCTATAGCATTCTTTCTTCTCCTTAATAGCCCTTTGGACTTCTCGTTCCACCACCAAGTATCTTTAGCCTGGCCTCCACTTCCTTTGCTTACTCCACACACCTCTGAGACCACCTTCCGAATGTTGGTTGCCATCTTCTCCCACATGTTGTTTATGTCCTCTTCTTTCTTTCAAGAGCCCTCTTTGATAACTCTTTTCCTGAATACCTTTGACGTCTCCCCTTTCAGTTTTCACCACTTTGTTCTTTCAATCTTAGCTTGTTTATCCCTACGGGCATGCACATGAAAACGAAAGTCTGCCACCAAAAGCTTATGTTGAGAAACAACACACTCCCCTGGTATCACCTTGCAACCCAAGCATGCTCGTTTGTTCTTTCTTCTTGTGAGGACAAAGTCAATCTGGCTAGAGTATTGTCCGCTACTGAAGGTCACTAGATGAGATTCTCTCTAAAGAAAGTGTTGGCTATTATCAGGTCAAAAGCTACTGCGAAGTCTAGAACTTCCTCCCCCTCCTGATTCCTACTACCATACCCAAAACCCCCATGAACTGCCTCGAAACATGCACTTGTAGTATCTACATGCCCATTAAGATCTTCTA